ATATATATATATATATATATATATATATATATATAAGGGTGCGTCATTTTTCAACAATTGTTTCAAACTAAATCCCTACCACCTTTTAGTTGATTAGTTGACCGATTAGATAAAAATGATTTTACACTAAAAAAAATTTTTGAAACCCATTTTTAAAGTTCCCGCTTTTACAATTCGTGCCCCGAAACCCTTACTTTTTTAACCAAAAAGCAGGGACCTTAAATATTGACATAAAATACAATTTTTTTTCCTAATAACTCTAAAAGGCCTAAATATTAATTTGGAATTAGTTGGGAAGTTTACAATAAAAAATATATATACTAATTTATGTAAAGAAAAATAGCTTAAAATGCAATAACTGAGTATAATTTTTTGGTATATTTAAATAGAATGACGCTTGCGAATGAATTTAACTCACGTGTGTCACAAACAAAAACAATCTTTCTTTTTTAACTATTTATTCTAAAAAAGTTAGAAAAGATTAAGAAACGAATTCGTGCCATACTTTTACTTAAGCTAAGAATATTTTTTTTATAACTTTTTAAAAATCAAAAATAAAACAAATATTTAAAAAAATGATGCTACCAAAAATTACGAGATCACTTTCAAAGACATTTTTATTTGAAGAAAAAAAGTGTTAGAAAAACCTTCTGAAACACAGTTTGCCACAAATAAGGAAATTATTCTTCATTTTCATTACAGGTATGATTAAAACATTAAACTGATTAAAAATTATTATTCAATATATTAACCAAGTAATTAAATTTTAGTTTGAAAAACGAAATATATAAAATCTAAATTTAATCTTAATAACTCAGGCATCCGTTAGACAAAAATACTCCCACCAAAAATTTGATTGGTTGTGCTTCCCAAGATAAAATGATGTCAGCATGCTCTGAACTTAGCAATATGTCCTCAGAACTGCATCCTCAGAAACCGTCGATCAATGGAGGATATGATGGTGGCATATTTCATGACAAACACATCAGGTTTGCTAAATAATCTATAGTTATAGTATTTTTACCAAATTTTACTTTTGCTTATATTAATTTGTTAACATGACTCTTTTCACTCTGCCTCTGATATGAGGCTACATTAAAAAGTTTTATAGCAATAAAAATAAAGTTAAATAAATATTATATGTTCTAGGAAACTATTAAATGATCTAGTTGAAAAATGGGCAACGTTAAAAAAAACTAAAAATGAAAAAGCCAACGCAGCAGAATTAGCTAGAAACATCTTTTTAAAAAATGCTAAGAAAATTTTTTGGATTGGAAAACCTGATATTTGCTCCATTTTAAAGAAGAAACATGGAAACAACCAAGATTCATTTATTTCAGATAAGCAATTTTTAAATGACGAAACGTAAAATGACACTTGGTTCAAGGATGTAGCATATTGCCAAAAGCTGAAAAACATAGAAGAAAGAAGATTGCAATATTTAACATTTATTGAGCAACAAGAAAATCAAACTGTGAAAATTGAGTTTTTATCATCAGAACAAAGTGAGATCTCTTTTTGTCAGGATTCCGACTATTCAGCAGACAAAATTAAATCAGGTACTAGTTTTTCAACAGTATTACCTAAAAAATTTGCAAAAGAAGTTGCATTTACAGGTCTTTCTAAAAATATTTCATCTAGAAATATGATGTACTTGCTCTCTGACATAGTAGTTTCTTTTGGGGGCAGTTTAACAGATTTCTTGCTTTCTGAATCTACTATCAGATGCGCAAAAAAGAAAGCAATCGGTACAAGTGCAGCTAAATATTGAGAAGATATAATAAAAACTGCAAGTCAAAGTAAATTTAAATAATTGCACACTTTGATGGAAAAATCTTGCAAAATATTACTAACAGTACAAAACAAAAAATAGATCGTTTTGCTGTTCTTGTAAATATCTATGGTGATTTAAGACTTGTTGGCATTCCGCCAATGGAAAACGGTACTGGAAAAACTCATCATGATACTTTAATAAACATTTTGGATGAATATAAGCTAAGAACTTATATAAAAGGTCTGTACATTGACACAACTGCAATTAATACAAGAAAATATTCCGGCACAAATATTAGGTTTTGTCAAACACAAGGTTCAATTGTATTACAGCTTGCATGTCGAAGACATGTTTACAAGCTTCACTGTATACATTTTTGGGAAAAAGTTCACATTGGTAAAACTTATGCTCCTGAAAATCTGATGTCCTGAAATGGAACGCAACAAAGGAAACTATGGATAAATCAAAGTTCAAAAAGTATGACAAAGCTGCAGTTAAAGGAACATATCTAGACAGGCAAGATTTAATGTTGGCTGTTCAGCATAGTAGGGATCAATTCAGGGAGTTTGAAAAAGTACAAACTACGGAGAGTGGCAAAAAAAAAATGGCGCTGACAAAGCACAGTTTGGAGAATATTTATTCAATTTTTCATCAAAAACACAAAGAAAAGTTTGTTGAGTTATAGTTTTACAAACTGTTTTTGAAGAAATTTTTTTTTTTGATTATTTACTAATTTATCACTGTTGACCTTAACAATATCGTTATATATATATTTTTTTTTAGCATAAAATTTATTATTTTACCTTAACTATCCCAGCTACATGATATTCACCAAAATAAAATTGATTTATTAAAACGTTTATTTTGCAGCGCCTATATGAAAGTTTAATCAAACTATATGTAAAAATAAAACTTTAAGGCAGATGGTACATAAATGTTCTGTAAAAAAAGTTTGTCACGGAAAGTTTGAGAGATAAAAAAATTGATCAATAGATATATCCATAAAATTACCTAAAATTAGAACGTTTCGCGCATTTTTCCAGGGTTTTTAATCTTTTCTAATTTTTTTAGAATAAATAGTTCGAAAAAGAAAGATTGTTTTTGTTTGTGACACATGTGAGTTAAATTTGTTCGCAAGCATCATTCTATTTAAATATACTTAAAATTATACTAAGTTATTGCAATTTAAGTTATTTTTCTTGACCTGAATTAGTATATATTTTTTTATTGTAAACTTCCCAACCAATTCAAAATGAATATTTAGGTCTTTTAGAGTTCATAGAAAAAAAATTGATGTTTTATGTCAATGTTTAAGGTCCCTGCTTTTTGGTTTAAAAAGTTGGGGTTTCGGGGCACAAATTGTAAAAGCAAGGACCTTAAAAATGGGTTTCAAAATTATTTTTTTAGTGTAAAATCATTTTTATATGTTTCAATTATAATTAAATTTATATTTATAATTTAAATTATAATTATAATTTATAAAAACATTTGAAAAAGACATTAAAACTAAAATCTATCCTGCAGGATCTCAACCTGCAAGAGTTTACGTGTTGCCTAACATGCATAAAGTTAGTAAAGATAGTTCTCTTTTAACATTTTGACCTATTATCTCAACAATTGGAACATACAACTACAACTTTCCAAGCATCTTTCTTATTTATTGTCTCCTCATATACCTAAACAGTTTTGTACTTTAGACTCATTTTCTTTTGTTGAAGAATTAAAACAAACTAATGTAACTAATAAATTTATCGTTTCATATGATGTGGAAAGTTTGTTCACGAGTATTCCACCTAAGAAAACCTTCAACATATCAACTGATTTATTTTTTAAAGATAAAATTAACTCTAAACGTTTTTTTTTTTTTTTTTTGTTAATAGCTTAACTATAAGGTACTTTACGTTTCCATACATTTGAATGTACTCAAATTATACTAAAATGAAAATTTCAAAAATTCATTATCATAATATTGATTATGAATTTTGAATTATTGTTCATAAACATTGCAAGGATGTTCCAATAAAATTAATTTTCACTACTAATAAAATACAAGATTGCTTTTGCTTATAAGAGTCACTTCCTAAACTGATTAAATCTCGTATTATCTATAAATTTTCTTGCACTGGTTGTAATGCCAGTGTAAGAAAAGTTATATTGTAATTGTAATAATACAGTTATATTAGAGTTATATTATTTTTTAATTGTAATAATACAGTTATATTGGACAGGTAATTGTAATAATACAGTTGTATTGAAGAAAACTCTAGACATTTAGCAACTAGAATAAATGAGCACCTTAAAAGTGATAAACAATCTCATATATTTAAACACTTAAATTTTTCTATTAAGTGCAATAATCTGGCTAACTGTGATTTTTTTGAGATTTTGGATAATGCCCCAACCAAACACAAATTAAAGATAAAAGAAACCCTCCACATTAAATGGGAAAGTCACTTAATAAACAAACTTCATTTATGCTATAATCTTATCTATTTAATTTTACTGTCAGTTTATTATTATAATTTTTTTTTTTGGCAGTTAGTTATTTTGATTGGTTATTTACTGAGTTATTTTGTATTAAATTCATTATGTAAATTTTTGTCTGTTATTATTTCTCAGTAAAGACTTCTATTTTTTAATATTTATTTCAGAGTTTTTCGAGGGTTGTATTAATATTATTCAAAAATCTTTACATCTAATAAATTTTTCAGTTGTAAATATTATAAATAATACTTATAAGTTGTAAATATTTTGAATAAAGTTCACACAGTTCTTTGGAAAGTCCTGTTGAGATATATGAAGAACATGATAAAAGCTGAGACCTACTTAAAGTCAATGGTAAGAGTCACAATGAAAGTAGAATTATGATGCAGAGTAATATTTTAAGTAATAATTTAAGTTAATAAAAATGTAAAGGATAAAAACTAGATTAAAAGAATAAAAAGTGAGATAAAAAGTTTTAAATTTAAAATGCATGTTTTTCCATTGGAATCTGTAGTAGTCAGCTTTAGCTTACACTTTATAAAGGAGGCTGCTGCAAACTTTCCCCCCAAATAAAAACTGTTTTGCAGTATCAAGCTTCATTATTATATACAAAATCAAGTTAACAAAATTTTTTCAATTCTATGTGCAATTCAACTCAGTGTTTATAATGACCTAACACTAAAGTAAGCATTAAGATTTTTAGAATAATTTAACATGTTAACACAATTTTATTTTAATTTAGGTGCAAATATTTTTCTTTCATCCAGTGGAATCATAAAAATTGGAGATTTTGGTTCTGCTGTTAGACTAAGGGATGCTTTTGAAACATGCCAGGGTGAAGTGTTTAACACTAGAGGAACTGCAGGTTTAATTCAAATTTTAAATTGGCTTGATTCAATATTAATAAATTGTGCTCCTTTTTTTTAATATATATAATTTATGTTTATATTTAGTTTATGTATTTAAAGTTTAAAATGAATATATATATATATATATATATATATATATATATATATATATATATATATATATATATATATATATATATATATATATATATATATATGCAAAATAAGATATTGAAGGAAGGCGGTCAATTCGACTGGCTCACATATGGAATTGACCGTCAAATATTTTTTGGACAATCAAAATTTTTATTTTTTTATTTGATTAAATTTTTATCTTAGTAATAGTTCTTCATAACTGAACTTTATAAATACAAAAACAAGTTAATGCTTGAAAATTAATGAGTTCATATTATTTTAATAATAATAATTTTTAATAAAATTAGTGTTGTTGTTTTTTTTTTATTGCAAACGGGCAATACACGGTTTTCTGATTACAATTTTATGTTGGGCATGCATGCTAATTGACTTGCATTACAAAGTAAATTAAAAAAAAATTTTTTCATTTAATTATCAGTTTTATTGTCATATATTTTTATATATAAGAAACTTTTTAATATATGAAAAAAAGATGGCAATAAAGCTAATGAGTAAGTTTAAAAAAAGATATCTTCAATTAACCTATAGATTAATGTTTCATAATTACCTTCATGGGTCATTCCGTGTCAAATCAACTAAAAAAAATAATTTTCGGCACCATACCATCTTGGATTTTGCTGATTTTTGGAGTAAAAGCTTAAATTAATGAAAGAAAACTTCACTCCAAATTATAGTATCAGACTTCTTACGGTTTCAGAGATATTGATACTCAGTCCCAATCTCTTTTTTGACTTTTTTTTTCAGCGCCATTTATTTTTTAAGCTTATTGCACCACACAATTAGCTTTAACTTATGAAATACTTGTTCAATTGTGATGAAAATTTCTACCTAACTACTTTTTAGGGTGAGGAACTCAAAAATCATGAATAAAACATTAAAAAATTTAAGCTTCTGGAACCCAGCAAACATCATCTCTAGAAGGCCAACAATATGACCTTGAAGGGTAACATGGATGCATGAAACTAACTTGAAAGTCTTTGTTTTCAACATCAACTAGTCCGATCCATGGATTGTTATTATATATCAAACATACAAACACACCAATGCTTATATTAGACAAGAATTCTTTAATAATCTCATCAGTTTTTGCAGTTATATATCTTTATTCCATTTCACTTTGAATTATCGTGTTTGACTCCTTGGATATGTAATAAAAGTTAATTCCTATGATATCATTTTGGCAAAAATTAAACATTGCAGATGCTGTAAGAATATGATTTGTTGTTGTTCGATGAAGGCTAGCAATTGAAGTCAGTCTCTACAGTCCCACCAATACCATCACAGGATGATTTACTGTGACTTGTTGCAAAGAAAGACCAGGTACATTTCATAGCAAAATCTTGTTCATGGTGGCATATATTTACGAAGTGTTTGCAGTTCTTGTACTGGCCAGCACACCCATCTGAAAAGTAATGGGCACTTTCTATTTGATGAGAAATATTGCTTTTAGTATGTCTAATTGTTAGTTTCATCACATGATAAACCATATCAACATCATGCAGTAAATCATCTGAGATGAAACATGTTGAATCACATTTGAGGACATTATTTTCTTTATAATAAATTACTGTTGGATGCAATGTGGCTTGAATTTTGTTCCAATGAAAACTTTGTATTTCGTCTTGTACAACAAACTCGTAATTTTCTGAGAAATCACAAAGGACAATGACCTCAGTACTACTTAACTCATTTTTTAACTTTCTTAAAGAAGCAGCTTGACTTTTTGCAATGTAAGAATGAACAGTAAGTTTTTGTAACTTATTTTTCAAAGTATTAATAAAGCTACTTGTCGTTTCTGTTAGGCTTAATAGTTCAGATTGGTCTGTTGTTTTCCATTGTTTGTAATCTATACAATAATCATCATCTTTATCAATATTGTCTTGAGAGTACAACTCATTTTCAAGATAATGTACCAATGTAGAATCTTCTGGGCACAAAGGGCAACGATGTATCATGCAAGTCTTGTTTGCCCTACTACAATAATAATAACTAAAAACTAAAAAATAATCAATAAGCTCGTGATAATCCTTTGATAATTTAACTGCACTAATCATTAACTTCACATTTTGATGGTAGGTGCACACACATACTGTATACGTACCAGATGCTCCAACTGTAATGCACCATTTTGGACAATATGAGCAAAAGTTAAAAAAACAGCTCTTTATATCTGGATGACAGGTTTTAAACTTTGCATATAGCTCTTTTAGATTTGAAAGAATTAAACGCTTTTGCATA